TTTTTTTTTTTTTGAGGAAGATTAGCCCTGAGCTAACATCTGCCACAAATCCTCCTCTTTTTGCTGAGGAAGACTGGCCCTGAACTAACATCCACACCCATCTTCCTCTACTTTATATGTGGGATGCCTGCCACAGCATAGCTTGACAAGTGGTATGTAGGTCTGCGCCCAGGATCCAAACTGGCGAACCCCAGGCTGCTGAAGCGGAATGTGTGAACTTAACCACTGCACCACTTGTCTGGCTCCGATTGCCTTCTGACTTTGTTCCCAACAAAGACATAGATGAATCTTGTCAATCTCCTGTTTCCTTGTTTAACCTGAGGAATGACTAGGGTCTTGAGGCTTTGTGAGTTTGTTTTGTAGAATAAAGAGAATGCCTTCGGGGAGGTTGCGATCATTGGATGGCTGGCCCCCAGCAGCCTTTGCAGATTGCCCATGGACTTATCAGGAGTGACTCCTTTGTTTCCCCAAAACTCCTCCTGCCAATCCCCTTAGCTCTATAAAACACCCCTGCTTTTTGCTCTGGTGAAGGTGGATTTGAGCAAACCCATGCTCCTACCTTCTCATCTTGGCCAACACAAATGGGGCCCTTCTCCATCTCCAAGTGACACTGGCCATGATATCAGTTCCCCTACATTAAACCCAGCATATACAGGGTTAAAACCAAAAGCACTTTCCCTGCTTACTCCTTGGCTTCCTGGCACCAGAATCCACCATCCCCCACAGAGGCAGACAATCAAGGACAGCCACTTGGACTCCATTTCATCTCCTCCCCTTCTCTGCAAGCAGCCTCCCAAGGCAGAACACTGGCTGGTGGGAAAGCTCCAACCAGCAAGCCCACAGGCTCCCCAACCCCACCCCACAAGCAGACACATTCTTTGCAACCTTTAAACCCCTCGCCTCCCATCTTTCTGGTAGACAAGAAGAGACTAATTTGAGGGCTCATTCTCATCTCCTGGCTGATGTCACCCAAAATAAAAACGCTTTCCTTGCCATGGCCTAGCGTTCCAGTTTTTATTTGACCCCTCTTGTGTGGCAGGTAAAGAACCTATGTTTGTAGCTGGTAACACAAGCACTGATGTCTCAGTGTTTGGCTTGCTGCACACTGGGCACGCAAATTTGAGATTAAGTGATTCAGTATCAGTTTCCTTTGCTGTGCAGAAGCTTTTCAGTTTGATGTAGTCCCACTTGTTTATTTGGCTTTTATTGCTTTTGCTTTTTGTGTCAGATTCAAAAAATCATTGCCAAGACCTATGTCAAGGAGCCGTGTGTGTTTTCTTCCAGGAGTTTTATAGTTTCAGGTCTTACATTCAAGTCTTTAATCCTTTTTGAGTTAATTTTTGTGTGTGGTGTAAGATAGTGGCCCAGTTTTATTCTTTTGCCTGTGGCTGTCCAATTTTCCCAGCACCATTTATTGAAGAGACTGTCCTTTCCCTATTGCATATTCTTGGCTCCTTCATCATAAATTAATTGACTACATATGCATGGATTTATTTCTGGGCTTTCTATTAGGTTCCATTGATCTATGTGTCTGTTTTTATGCAAATACCATACTGTTTTGATTACTATAGCTTTGTAATATAGTTTGAAATCAGGGTGTGTGATGCTTCCAGCTTTGTTCTTCTTTCTCAAGATTGCTTTGGCTGTTTGGGGTCTTTTATGGCTCCACACAAATTTTAGGATTGTTTGTTGTAGTTCTGTGAAAAATGTCATTGGTATTTTGATGGGGAGCATTGACTATGTATATCACTTTGGGCAGTAAGGACATTTTAACAATATTAATTCTTCCAATCCATGAACACAATTCTGTGTTCTTTCCATTTATTTGTGTCTTCTTCAATTTCTCTCTTTAATGTCTTGTAGTTTTCAATATACAGGTCATTCACCTCCTTGGTTAAATTTATTCCTAGATATTTAATTTCTCTTTATGATAATTCACTATTAGTGTGTAGAAATACAACAGAATTTTGTGTCTTGATTTTGTATCCTGCAACTTTACTGAATTAGTTTATTAGTTCTAAAAGTTTTTTGATGGAGTCTTTAGGGTTTTCTATATATAATATCATGTCATCTGCAAATAGTGACAGTTTTATTTCTTCCTTTTCAATTTGGACACCTTTTATTTATTTTTTCTTGTTTGCTTGCTCTGGCTAGGACTTCCAATTCTATTTTGAATAAAAGTGGTGAGAGTGAGCATCCTTGTTTTGTTCTTGGTCTCAGAGGAAAAGCTTTCACTTTCTCTAAGAATCAACAACAAATTGCTTTTGAATCGATTGTTGACTGTTCTGTTTTTCTGTTATCTTCTCACCTAGAAGGCTGGTCCTTACCTACTCTGGGGCTATAACTTTCTTGATAACTTAGGGCCTTGATAGGTCTTCCTGGATACCTCAGACATTCACTCATTCATTCACTTCATTCAGCAATATTTATTGATCACCTATTACATGCTAGGTGCTGGAGGAAAATAAGTCAGACACCTACCCTGCCCTTAAGAAGCTCAGTCTACTGGATAAATATTCAAACACAGTTGACAGTTATTAATATTGACTTACTATGTAGCAAGCATTCTCACATGCATACTATATAAAGCTATGCACGTGAAAGAGAAGTGATGATGTCAGGCTACAATAGTAGGTACACGATGAGTACAAGACAACTGGAGGAATTTAAATTGTTGAATTTAAGATTCATTAGGGGGCCGGCCCGGTGGTGCTGTGGTTAAGTTTGCATGTTCTGCTTCGGCTGCCCAGGGTTCGCCAGTTTGGATCCCGGGTGTGGACCTAGCACCGCTTGTCAAGCTATGCTGTGGCAGGTGTCCCACGTATCAAGTAGAGGAAGATGGGCATGAATGTTAGCTCAGGGCCAGCCTTCCTCAGCAAAAAGAGGAGGATTTGTGGCAGATGTTAGCTCAGGACTAATCTTCCTCAAAGAAAAGAAAAATATTCATTAGATTCTTGGTTTTCCAGAAAGTTACTTAAGTCCATAATAAATATGACAAAAAATTATATACTGTTAATCTTGCTTTCATGACTCTGGACTCTTTCAGAAAGGAATTTAATGTGTTATAAAAGGTTACTGTGGGAAAACCAGTTTTTAAATCAGAAGTAAACCAAGCAGTATGTAACAGACTCTGCTAGTATCCTACCTAATACCTATTATCCCAGTCTTCCTTACTCAGAGAACCCCAACTTGGTTTGGGGCAGCAATAAACCCAATTTCCCATACACATAGCTCAGGGTGGCCACATGACCTAGCTCTGGCCGATAAGATTAAAGCAAAAGTCTACTGGGTGGTGTTTCTAGAAGGGCTTTTGTTTTCCTAATAAAGAAAACAATTTAGCTTACCATCCTTTAGCTTTTTGTCTTATACTCTTACCCCTTTCTTCCTGCATAGAACACAGACAAGGTGCTCAGAAGTTGAGCAGCCATTTTACAACCATAAGGATGAAGAAAACCCACTAAAAAGATGGTGAAGCAGGAAGCTAGAAGGATTTTTGTTGAGCAGCTGCACCCACCCTTGTACTGCCTACCTTGGAATTTTTTTGTTAGGGAAAAAACCCATTTCGTTGAGCCACGACAATGGGGTTTCTGTTACATGCAGTCAAATGCAGTCCTAACGAAGCTGGGTATCTGAGGGTTACTGTAGATATTCAATAAGAACACGATTGCCTTTTGACCTTGTTCCCAACACAGGCATAGATGAATCTTGCCAATTTGCTGTTTTCTTATTTAACTTGAGGGGTGACTCAGGGGTCTTGAGGATTTGTGAGTTTGTTTTGTAGAAGAAAGAGAATGCCTTATGGGAGATTGCAATCACCAGATGGCTGGCCCCCAGCTGCTGTTGACGCCCAGAAGTAAGATTGTCCAGGGACTTACAAGGAGTGACCCCTTTGTTTCTCCGAAGTTCCTCCTGCCAAACCCCTTAGCTCTATAAAACCTCTCATTTTCTGCTCTTATTAAGGCAGATTTGAGAAAACCCATGCTGCCACCTTCTAGTTTTGGCCAATTCCAATAAAACTTTCTCCTTCTCCAAGCACTAATGTCTCAGTGATTGGCTTACTGCACATCAGGCACATGAATTTGAGATTAAGAGGTTCATTATCACAACTGATAAACTGTACCTCGAAAGGGAAACGTTTGCAAGAAAAATATTTTACTTTTTATTAGGAGAAAGAGAAAAAGTCTTTCTTCTGATTTGAAAAGCAATGATATTGTCTGCAAAAAGAAAGGTACTTTTCTTTTCTTGGTCTGTACTTGCCCATGGTGGAGAGCAAAAAATCTAGGAAAGAAGGAGACATAAGCTAACTCCTGCCCTCTGATCAAGTGGAACCAAGATATAGATTTCTCTTGGGGGCTGGCCGCATGGCCTAGTGGTTAAGTTCGGTGTGCTCTGCTTCAGCAGCCCAGGTTTGCAGGTTCAAATCCCAGGTGTGGATGTACACCACTCATCAGCCATGCTGTGGTGGTGACCCACATATAAAATACAGGAATATTGGCACAGATTTTAGATCAGGGCTAATCTTCCTCAAGCAAAAATAAAGAAGAAGATTGGCAACAGATGTTGCCAGGGCTAATCTTCCCAGGAAAAAAGAGAGAGAGAGAGAGATTTCTCTTATTAGGGTAGTGTCTCTTAAAATGTGTCTTGGCATAGTAGGTTCTTGAGATGCACCTCAGGAAAAAAGAAAGAAAGAAAGAAAAGTTTCCTTAGTCAATAAGTTTGATAGATATTGCATACAGAACCTTTTCCTCTTAGAAAATCACAGTGGGCATTACAATGTTAAAGGCTCTGGGTAAATCTCGTAGCAAAGAAATCTGCTTAGCGTCATTTAGCCCAATCCCTCAAAAACTTGGTAACACCTATTACTAAACTAGAAGATGCACTTTGGGAAACTGCATTAGAGAAATGAATAAAGACAAAACCTTGTAAAATCAAACTGGCTTAAATCCTCAAAAAACCCAGAGCAATGGCTACCCTCTAGAAAGGAATCCAGCAAGACTCAGTTTGGGTAAAAAGACATATTTTATTCACTTTGGAGGTAAAGGGAATGAGGCTTACAATGAACAGTAAGTGAAATACCAGTGAGAAGTACACAGATTGAGCAGGTGCCAGCAGCATGATGTCCCCTGAGAGGGCATTAGTTGATTTTTATCTTGAGTTTTCCAAGTACATCTGGTTTCTCCTTCCCATCAGTAGATCTAAGAGCACTACTAGGGCCTCAAACCATAGTACACAATGTACAGTAATAATCCCAGGAAGGATTTCATCTTCCTCTTTCTCTTGGACAGTTGCCACATTTAATAATTTACACTTTGACTCAAGGAGGGATGATTTTTCTTCTTCCCACTTGTGACCTAAATACATAAGTTCTGGCAATCAAACACATACCAAGGTGCCCTCACAGACAGCCTCATTCTTTGGTTGTACTCAAGTATTTTTGCACTTCTTTTGGTGACAAGCCATCTCTCAGCTCAAACGGGAAATAACAGCCCTATAGGTTATGTATGGCAAGTCACCCATTCAATGAGTTATTCTGAAATCTTTGGAAAGAGGTAGCGGCATCTAAGAACTCGAAGGGAAGGAAGAATATAAATGAATGTAAACAGTTCTTGATTACAAAAGCTATTTGAGATTGGCCTCTTTAGTTCACTCATTGGCTAATATCTTTTGTATGCATAGATCCAGGCTGGCAGGGAATCAAGTATTTTTATTATCTATCTGAGTGTCTTGTCCTCCTTGAATTCCCTTAGGCATTTGACACTGTTGCTTACTTTCTTAATTTTTCTTCTTTTCTTTCATTCAAAGGTTTTTTTTAAATTAAGTTTTATAAGTCCTTCTTTTTGAAATTCTCTTCTCCCTTGATGCAATGCCAGAGTCCCAATTTGTTTCTTCCCAGTCCATCACTATGGTCATCTCTCAGTGATCAGTTCTTAGACTTCTGCTTCTCACATTCAAGGGTTCATTCTTTGTCATGATCTTAACTATCACTTCTAAGCAGCACCAAATCCAAATCTGGAATTCTGGCTCCTCATCCAGCTACACTAAAGTTGAGAACTGTTGAAAAGAGGTTCCCACCCATGGGAACTATACATGATATTTCTTCATCCATTACTTCTGTACTTCTCAACAGCCCTGCCAAACAGGTATCACCATTCCCAATTTACCAATGAGGAAACTGAAGCTCAGAGAGATTAAGTAACTTGTCTGAGATCATGCAGCTATTGAGTAGCAGATCAAAGATTCAAAGCCACGTCTGGTTATCTGACTAAAATTGCTTGTTCTTTCTACTACTCCTTATCACTTCCTTCACCAAAATGCTGGCTTTCATCACATCAATGAAGAAAAACAGAGTCATAGGTAAAACATTTAGCCTAACCAGTTGGGGGCTATGGGATGAAGTAGTAGGAAATGTGGGGGAAGTGAAAGTTCAGATGTACCACCTTCTCCTCCTCTCCACATCCAGGTTAGACTTACAAGTAGGCCAAGTAGTGAGTAGCTAGTGTATTGAGATGTGAGAGATGCTGGACAGGCCTACTTTCCTTCAAAACATCTTTCTAATACCCTCCCTACCTCTACTACTCTTAAAGTGCCCCCTAGATCTTTAGGTTCGTTAAGGTTCCTGCGGCCTCTTAACATGGAAATATACTCAGGAGAAGAAACATTAAACTGAATTACTGACATATAATCATTCAGCAAATATTTACTAAGCACCATTTATTAAGCAAATGGGATGATATAATAACAACCATTTATATTTGCTTAGCTCTCTAGATTTTCAGAGCCTTACCATGATCTGAAGTACTTAAAGCTGAGGTTATGATCCTCATTTTACAGATGATGAAATTGTGGCTGAGAGAGTCTGACTGACTCACCCAAGTGACACACCTGAGTCCCACTTTCATAACCAGGGCTCAAACTTGGGTTTTCTGATTTTCAGTCCTATGCTCTTTCATGATCACAGTAACTCACGGGGTTTACAGGTGGGAACTCAAAACAAACATATATAAAGAGTCAAATAACAATTCCAGATAATAGTATAAGTAATATCAAAAGACAAAAAAGATAGCACAACTAGAAGGACCTACAACTAGAATATACAACTATGTACTGGGGGGCTTTGGGGAGAAAGAAAAAAAAAGGAAGAAGATTGGCAACAGATGTTAGCTCAGGTGCCAATCTTTAAAAAAAAAAAAAGACAAGGAAGTGTCAAATGACTAACATGGACAATAATTATTGCAGATGACCAGGAAGGTCACTGTGGGTAAGAGTTAGCAGGATTTCAACTTGTGTTGAAGATGCTAAGGAACCATGAAAGAGTTTTGAGTAAGACAATGAAACTGTGAAAGCAGTCCTTGGGCTGCTCAATCTGGCAATATACATTGTACAGGACGCATTCAGGTGAGGAGAGACTGGAGGTAAGGAAGACCAGTTAGGAGGCTGTGACAGTCAGTCGAGGATCAGGTGACAAGAGTTTGTATTAGAATGGTAGCACTGGGACCATAAGGGAAGGTCAATTGTAATTGATATGATGAAAAAAGAAATGGTTAGAATCTCCTGAAATAGGGAGGGAGAAGAGTTGAATTTGCCTGAGAGTTTTGAAGCTTAGGTGACTTGAGGAAAGAAGACGCCATGAACAGAAATGAGCAAGACAGGTAGGGAAACCGGTTCAGGGAGGTTAGTTTTTGACATCTTGGGTTGAAAGTAACAATGGAAGATCCAAGTGAAACTGTTCAGTGGGCAATTAAAGATATCAAGGTGGAACCTGGGAGAAGGTCAGGCCTAGAGCTGAGTTGACATGGTGTAGTGGAAGGAGATCTGGGAGCCAGGGGACCTGAGGTCTATTCTCTGCTCTGCTACTAACTTACTAAGTCATGGGTAAGTCATCTCTGGGCCTGTTTCCTCCTCTGTAAAGTGAGAGTGTGCCCAGGCCCCAGAAGATTCCTAAGATAACAAGTACTCTCAAGGACTATGAGTCAAGTGAATTGTATTCACGTGCATATATGTTGTCTCCAAGAGAAAATCAAGCATCAGATGGGGAGAGGAAATTAAATAATCCCCAAATGCTATGACTATGACAGATCTCAGACCTCTGTTCACTTAGTGAGTAAAAGAGAAAGAGAAGCCAGCAAAGAGAGAGGAAGTAATAAGAGAGAGAAAAGTAGGAGGAGAGAAATTTTAAAGCAAGGGAATAAAATAGGGAACTAAAATTAAAAGTGTTACAATAAATGGAAGAAATATTTATGTCAAATATGACAAAGGGTTAACATGTATGTTAAATACATTAAGAATATGTTTAGGGGCCGGCCCCGTGGCTGAGCAGTTAAGTCCACGTGCTCCACTGCAGCGGCCCAGGGTTTCGCCGGTTCGAGTCCGAGGCGCAGACATGGCACTGCTCGTCAGGCCACGTTGAGGCAGCGTCCCACATGACACAACCACAAGGACGTGCAACTAAGATATACAACTATGTGCCGGGAGGATTTAGGGAGATAAAGCAGAAAAAAAAAAAAGAATATGTTTAGATATATAAGAAAACCACTAAGATGTCAGTTGGAGAAGGATATGAACAGACAGTTCACACAAGAGGATATGCAAATAGTAAGCCTATGGGAAAGTGTTTAATCCCATGAGTATCAAGGAAATGAAATTGATGAATAGTGTTTAAGCCATCCAAAAAGATTTCTTATAAAGTCCAAGCTAGAGCTGCAAGGGAACTGGAACACTCATGTATTATTGTGGTGCTGAAAATTTATGCAGTCCTTTTGGAAATCAAGATCCATAAAAATGTTCATGCTCTGATCTGGTAATCCCACTCCAGGAGACTTGTCCTACGAACAGAACTACAAAGAAGAAAAAAGCCATACGCATTAAGATGTTCAAAGCACAGAAAAATTGGGAGTTATCTAAATGCCCAATAATAGGGGAACAGTCAAATAAAATATAGCCTACAAAAATGTAATTTTATGCAGCCACTGAAATGATAAACATGAAAGACTGTAGCACAAGGAGAGTATTTACAATAAAAAGTTTCTTAAGAGCAGAATTTTAAGATATACATACACTATGATTACATTTATGTAAAATATATATATATATAATACAAATTGAAAAAGCACAGAACATGGAAAAATGAAAGCAATTGTCTAGGGTTTAGAAGTATAGATGAATATTTTATTTCAAAATTTCCTTTGATATTGTCATAGTGGAATTTTTTAATGTTTTTATAAAAAATTTTAAAGAGGACATGCAACGGGGTCAAGTGAAGTAGAGAAGTCAAAGAGGATGAAGGTAGAGAAAAGACCATTAAAGGTCTTCCTTATGAGGTCATTTGTGTTATAGGTACAGAAAAGTGTAGGAAGGAAACCAGATTCAGAGAGTTAAGGGGGTGACTCTGGTGAGGAAATGAGGTTTATGGTACTCTTTCTAGAAATGTGACAATGAAATGAATAAGATGAATAGAAGGGTAGCTAGAAGAGATAGCAGGGTCAAGGTAATAGTGGTAACACTTTATTTTTGTTTAGTTGGGTTTTTTTTTTACAGATGGGATGAAATCAGTTATGGAAGAGACTGAAAATGATGAAGAGGGATAAACAAAGGAACTAGAAAGAGGGCCACCTCTTATTCTGGGACTGGAGGGAAGAAAGGGAGAAAGACAAGATGGATATAGAAGTAGAGTTAACATGAATGAAGCAGAGAGAAGTTGAGGTATTAGATCTCAGTTTTGCAGGAGGCAAGGTAACTCTTAAGGGGTCATAGGGTAGGATGAAGTTGGGGCCTTGAGAAGGCAGAAAAGACAGGAAACAGTTGCCCTGGAATGTTTACTAGGAAGTCAGCAAGCTAAGAGGAATGGGGGCTTAGATGAAGTTCAAAGACGAAGTTTCAGTGGGTCAAGCCAGCCTTGTCCTCTGGCTTCATCTGCTATCTTCTCCAGTCCTAGGAGACAGAAGAAGATTGGCCTAAGGTGAAAGTCAAGGCATTTAATTAAAGTGAGAATGTGAGAGAAGGCAGCCCTAAAGTAGCAGACCACAAAGTCTGGCCAGTTAGTCTCAATTAAGCATAAAAAAGCTAAGTGGACTTGAGAAATGGAGGAGGCTGGGTCAGTTGTGATGGAGAGAGCAGCTTTACTGGGTGGGACTGATGGGTAGGAGAGATGATAGGCAAGGAGGCTGCGATCACAGGAATACACAGGAGAGAGTGCAGATGAGGAACAGGGTATGTAACAGTCTAGGCAGTGGCCATGAGATTGGGAGACTAAGAAGAAGGTCAGTTCATTTACTCCTAACAGAAGGGGTCCTGGGTAACAGGCAGGTTCTGGATATCCAGGGAGGAAGAGGGAGCACTTAAAAGAATGCAAAGAGGCACTTAGGGCATTGAAGTCATTTTGTTCCTGCAGACCAGTCCCAACCTTCCTCTCCAGAGAGACCCCTTAGCAGCAAATAGGCAAGTAAGAGATCAGAGACAGGTCAGCAAGGGTAGCGAGGGTAGGGCAAAAAAAACGGGAAGGCTGAAGACTCAGGAGACCAATGCGCTAGAAGGTGATTTCAGAAGGGGTGCCTAGAAGTGTAAGCCCACCCTTCTCACAAATGCCAGCTCAGAAACTCTTATTTCCCAAGGCTTGGAGGTTAGCTCCCCAAGTTCCATACTCTGCCGCCCCCACCCCACCCCCCGCCATCAACTCCCATAAGCCCATAAGCACTAAGACCACGCTGGTGGGAAGTGACTGGATGGGAGACTCTGAGGGGAGCCGTCCAGTTCCAGTTCCCTGCCCTGGCCTTGAAATCCTAAAGCTTGATCTGCAACAGCTGGTTACAGATTTATCACGTATCTAGGGCAGAAGCTAGAGAAAGGGGAGAGGCCAGTGCAGAGCCAGCTCTGGGCATCGATCCCTGTCACCACCCCAACCACTGCACAAACCTGCTCCACCCCTTCGTGCCAGAACTTACAGCCATAGACACAAGAGCTCCTCCCTCTCATTCTGAGCCATCCCCTCTTCCTTTCATTAAGTATGAGAGCTGTCAAATATGCTCTCAGCAAATATCGTAAAGGAGGTCCATCCCCATTTCTGGTCCAAAGGCTATCAGCTTGGGCCCCACCCCCTGGGGCTCCTCAGGGTCCCCCCGCCCCATGGTATGACGCAGGGCTCCCTCTCTACCTCGTGGCTATACACCAGTTCAACAGTGCCATGCCTCCAGACGCATGTGGGGACCCTGACATGCAGGCTGTCTGGGATTGTGCCCTATTTTAGCACCTTGGTAGGCAAGGCTATCCTGTCTTTGAGGGGAAACTAGGAAGTGGGTGTGGTTGCTACATATGTCACATCCTTGGCATCTGTGATATACTGTTGCCCCCACTTCCTGACTCTGACTATCACCAGCAGATAAGCCAGGCCAATCCTGAGATTACTTCAGCTTCTCCACCCCTCCAGTTGAATGCTCTGGTCTGGAGGAACACATGCTACACAAGGATGTGCAGGAAAAGGGAGGGGGAAGGAGGACTGGGGAAGATTTCCAGGAAGGCTTATAGGATCAAGAAACAGGACAAATGGCCCCAGGAAGAGGACAGAAACAAAGAGAAAGAAGTAGAGGAGGAAGAGCGGCTGCTACCCACTTTGGCTAAAAAGGAGAGGCCAGCTGAAGGGTTTATGGGCATCACACATGACTTCCCTGGCTTCCTCTAACCCTCAGGGTGAGGGCCTCTCTCCAGGGCCTGGAAAAGAGGAGGAAGCAGCCATATCATCACATGTCACTACTAGGTTCCGTCGCCTCTACCCTGCACTCACCCCCTTTTCTCTCACTTCCTGGCTTCCAGTGTTACAATGTACCTGCCCTAGGGGTAGGGAACCCTCCGTCCTAGGGGGTGGCTGTCCACCTGCAGCTGCTATCCTCAGGCAGGGACACCAGTGCCAGGGAGGAGGCAGCCATGGGGGGCCGGGGGCCGCCACGACTGCAGAGCTGCCAGAGCTGACGTCGATACTTGTTCCCAGTGAGCAGGTAGAGCACAGGATCCAGGCAGCTGTTGGCACTGGCCAGGGGCCGAGTCACTTTGTAGACCACGTTGACAATGTTCAGCACCTGGCAGTCAGCTTCCAACAGCCTTGCCATGTAATAAATGGTGCGGGTGATGTGGAAAGGCACAAAGCAGACAGCAAAGACAGTCAGCACCACAGCAATGGTGCGGAGAGAACGCAGACAAGAAGATGACTGGGCAGCCCCTGGCAAGGGCCGATACAGGCGCCGGGCCATGAGCCCATAGCAGACAAGAGTGACCAGGCAGGGCACGCCAAAGAGCAGCCCCATGATTGCTGAGCTGAAGTACACATAGTGGTCAAATTCCTCAGGCCGAGTGGTGTCATGGCACAGGATGGTGTCCCCCTTGGTGCTGGTTGTGACAAAGAACAGGTTGGGTACAAGGCAGCTGGCTACGACCAACCAAACTGCCAGGCAAAGAAGGCTTGCAAAGTGTGAACAGCCCCAGCGTAGTGCCTGCAGCGGGTGGCAGATGCCCAGGTAGCGGTGTACACTGATGCAGGTGAGGAACAGGACGCTGCAGTAGAGGTTCCAATAGAAGAGAAAGCGGATGAACTTGCAGAGCCCAGGGCCAAAGGGCCAGTGGTTGCGGGCTGCATAATAGTAGATGAGGGTGGGCAGCGACAGCACATAGAAAGTGTCTGACAAGGCCAGGTGGAACATGTAGGTGGCCGTTGCATCCCAGGGTCGGAGGCGAAAGAGGAAGAGCCAGAGGGTAGGGGCATTGAGGCCTAGGCCCAGCACAAAGACAACTGCGTAGCTTACAGGCAGCAGGATGAACTTGAACTCCTCATCAAACTGGCAGTCCAGCTCCACCTCACTTGTGCCAGGATCTGTGGTCAGGCCTAGGGCTGTGGGCAACGAGGACTCTGCATTGGCCATGGTCCCCCTAAAGGTGGAAAGGGCAGAAGTGAGGGTGACTGGATTTCCCTGCCCTCCCCCAAGCCCCTTCCCAGGGCAAAAAAAGTAGAGAATGGGGAGGGCAGTGTTTGAAGGATTAGAGGAGCTGAGAGGAGTGCATTCAGGTGCAACCCAGGCCAGCCTGGCCCCTGCCCAAGCTCTCTTGGTCCAGCCCGGGGAGTGGTGGGCAGTAGGCAGTGCTGGGGCTCAGGAGGGCAGTCAGCGGATTTGGGTTGTTCTCATTCTGCAGCTGACTCTGTCCTTCAGAGCTTGGCTAGCTGAAGGGGGTGGAGACTTACCAGGACTGTCCAATGTGGGAAGACACCCAGACCCAAATTATCTCCTAGCTCATCACAACAGCTGTGTCCCTGTGAATAGGGCATCTCTCCACATGGTGACTTCATCTCTCCTCTCACCCTCATCCCTGTGTCTCCATACTACAGTTACCTCTGACATCTTCCCCCAGCCTGGTCTAGCCCAGGAAACCCATCGCCACCCATACCTAAGAAACTTGGCACGTCTCCTACCTGGTCCCCTTGAAGCTGAGCCCAGCTGACTGTCACCCTTCCCTTTGGCAGCCAAAGGGCATATCCAAGGGGGCGGGGTTAGGGGTGGGGCCTATCCCTCCTCCTGTCCTGGGAGATTGTCAGAGCTAGAAAGGCTCATTGAGATCTTCTAGTCCAACCCACTCACTGTACAGATTGCGAAACTGTGGCCCAGCGAGATTACTATTTAACAGCTTCTAAATGACTGTAGGAGGGAATATACAAGGAAATGTCTGAGTTTACAGATGAAGAGCCAGGCCACTGGAGATAACTAAAACTATAGGAAGTTTGTACAAATCTGTGCAAGTGTGCAGAAGCGTGGGAAATGAATACTAACATGGGCAAGTGCAAGATAACATATTGAAAAATTTTAGAAAATCTGAACTACTGATGTAAATCTTAACTCCATGTGCATATAATTATAACAAATGCTTATACAGCACTATGTGCAAGGCATAGTTCTAAGTGCTTTATACTTATTAACGGCCCCACAGGCTCTCTATGAAGAAGATATTGTCCCTACTTTGTTGATGAGAAAACTAAGGCACAGAGAGTTTAAGTAGTTTGCTAATTAGTGGTACGGTCAAGGTTTGAACACAGGCAGGTGTGCCTTTAAACCAGGCATCCATGTCCTAATTGCCATGCTTAGCTGCCTTTCTAAGCCCCTGGCCATAGTCCAGGAAGGATAAAGAAATATTTCCTGAGAGCCTACTATGTGCTTTATCAAGTTCAAGGCACTGATAGTTCACTAGTAGTGAACAAAACAGACAAAAATCCCTACTCTGCTGGAGCTTGCATACTAGTGGGAGGGAAAAGATAATAAAATTAACAAGTAAAATATACAGATTGTGATCGTTGTTATAGAGAAAAATAAAGGAGGAAGGGGGAATAGAGAAGGAAGGACAAGGGGAATAAAGAAGGGTGCTGTTTTAAATATTAGGGGGACTGTTGAATAAAGACCAGGTGGTTGTGAGGAAGAGGAAACATAGAGAGTTTGGTGGGGACCAGATCATCAAGGTCCTTGGAAGCCATTGTGAGGACTCCTTGGTTTTTACTTTCAATGAATGGGAAACCATTGGGAGTTTACAAGAAAGTGTCAGAATCTGATTTACATTTGAGAAGGATCACTGCCTAGCTTTACGTTGAGAACAGACTGCAGGGCTTGGGGTGTGGGAGGAAGACCAGTTTGGAGGCTACTGCCAATAGAGATGATGGTAGCTTAGACCAAGGTGGTGGAAGTGGTGAGAAGTTGTGAGATTCTGGCTAGATTGTGAAAGTGGAGACAAGATTTACCGATGTGGGGTATGAGAGAAAGAGAGGTGTCAACAATGACTCCAAGACTTCTGGCCTGAGCAACTGGAAAAATGGACTTACTGTTGACAGAGATGGGGAAGGCTGCGAGAGGAGCAGGTTTGGGGAAAGACTGAGAGTTCGTTTTTCATCCTGTCAAATTTAACATGCCTATTACACACACAAGAGGAGATGGCGAGGAGGCAGTTCACTCCTCCCCAAGGATGCTAGCCAGCATGCTTCCCTTACAGATTCCACCCCTTCCTACACACTACCGCTCATCCCTCTCTATTACTCCAGGAGCCCCTGTCTGAGTACAGCAGAGAAAATGCAGAGAGCAAGCCTACATGTTCGAGAGCTGAATGCCGGGGAACGCCAAATTGTCAGGAGCTCTGGGCCTGGGACTCCTGGGGCTAACTAAGGCTCCGTGATCATGAGGTCTTAGGCACAGGAGGTAAGCTCTGGGCCTGGAGGACTCGAAGCATGAGGTGAGTGGTGCTCTCGGGGAGGAGGAGCAGGCTGGAGCAGAATCCACTCTGAAGGGAGCTGGGAAGCAATGGGAACTTTGAACCTGACCTTCAGGTCCTGAAAATGTTGCCCAGTTGGATCCTGAGAGTGAGAGGAGGAGGGAGGCCTTCAAAGGAGGCTCTAGAATGGAGATCCTTCCTCTGTGGCAGGGTGAGGGGCACACAGAAGATAGGCATGGAGGAAGCAGTCGTAGCCTGAGTCCTAGACAGCTGACTGCTGTGATATTACATAGAAGGTCCAGGTGTTTGGAGCCAGGCAGACTTGAATTCAAATCCTTATTCTCCCACGTATTAGTTGTGCGACCCTGGACACCTCTTTGTAACTTAGTTTTCTCACCAGTGAAATGGGGATAATAATACCATCTTTAGGGTTTCCTGAATATTGAACTGGTTAGTAGGTGTGAAAACACTTTGTAAACCATATGATGTTGCTAATCTACAAGGTATTTTGTACTATCACGTTGGTTCCAGGGATGAAGCTGGCCTCTTCAGAGGAGGACAAGCATGATTTGAGGCTTAGCATACACCCACGGGGACATTCCATCCATACACTAGAGATGCCCCAGTCTGAGCCAGCTTCCTGCTCCTACTGCTTCAAACTGGCTTAGCTCTGCTAGGTTTCTGCTGGTCCCCGGACACTGCTGCTGCCACCACTGGCCCCCAGCGGCTACTTCAGGAAAAGACCTCGCCCAACATTCCTCAACCCGACTACTAACGCCCCCACGGGCCAAAAGGAATGATTTGTGCCTTATGAAACGCTGCAGACCAGACTCACTCTCTTCTACGAAACTCTTCCCCACTTTCATTTCTGGGACTTTGCATTACTCTGGTTCTCCTATTCCTCTGGATGTCCCCTCTGACTCTTTCCCTGGCTCCTTCCACCAAACGTGACCCTTCCCCAGGGCTTAATCCTAGAGCCTCTTTTCCTCTCTCCTTTCCTCCCCTCCCCTCTTCTCTCCTTCCCTCTCCCCAATCTCCCCCTTTTCCCGGACTCCACCATTTCTCTTACTCTCTCTCAACATCTTTCATGATTTAACTTAGAAGTTATGAATAATTATAATGACCAATGAGACTCTAGCATACAGGTCTCTCGCTAATCAAAATTTCTCTCTCACAGTCTTATCACAATTGATTTCTACTGAGATTATGGCACATATCACAAACTGCCTAGAATTCTACTCATTTGTATTTCTGTCCATCTCCTCCTGATCTTCCCACCCCTACAGCAGACCCAGCGCTCCTTGAGGACAGGCACCTGGCTTAACCTCTTTCCCACAGTCTTCCAGGTAAAGTTATGATTACATATGTTGCAGGTACTTTTTTTTCCAAATTGTATGTCTCGTTGTCCAAAAAATTGCCTTTCAATTCAGAGTTAAGAAAACAGATACCTTGCACATAGTAGGTGTGCAATACATGTTTGTTGAGTGAATGAATGATTCAGTTATAGTTTGTTGAATTGAATAATTCCCACATCTATAATCTAAGCCCTGCATATATTGTTTGCTGTAGGACATATCCACTTGGGTATCTCATTGACATGTAGAATTTAGTATGTCAGGCAAAGTTTCTTGCCTTCTTCCCCCTGACAGAGATAAATAAGATGTATGGATACCATTGTTGCTGACACCCTTCCGTTCCCCTACTCCTTCAGTCTTTCCAGTCCTCTCCCTCTTGGCTCCTCACATCTAATATTCATAAATGTCTTGATGACAGTTTCTCTGCAATGTTTGCTATTTCCTTGGGGCCTAAAGAAGGAAAAGGAGGAAAGGCATGGTTTCTAATCTCTTTCTCTGAGTTGAGGGAGGGGCAACGAAGGAGAGGGAGGGAGAAGGAAGGGAGGAAGGAAAGGGGGAGGGAAAGAAAGAAATGAGGGAGGGAAGGTAAGTGAAATAGTGAGGAAAATGCAGGCTTTGGAGTCAGACAGACCTAGAGTTTAACTCTGGCTCCGTCATCTACCAGCTATATTACTGTGGATAAGTCTTCCCGAACCTCCATCTTCTCAAATGTAGAATGCGGATACTAGCACCTATCTCGTGGTGAGGAGAAAATGAGGCAATGCGTGTAATGCATAGTGTCTGGCAGTTATCATCCTCTTCGGCATTAGGAATTAAAATATAGGTGAATTTGGAGGGTGTTGGAGGTTAGGAAATTCACCCCAATTGCTTGAGTTTTCTTTAGGAAGTGAAAAAATGAGGTCACCTGCTAAGAATAAGGTGCAGTGTGGAGTGGAACAAGACAGTCACTCAGCCTTGATGGAAAGAAGCAGTAACGGGAAACTCTAGATAATCCAAACTTACGAGTAAAATCATGAGAAAGTGACTGGCTCCATATAACTGCACCCAAGTTAGCCTTGTCCGGGTGTCTTTTCTGTAGCGGTCCATTTAGTCTTTCTAAATGTCTGTTCTTCGTCTCCAGCAAGGCTGTTAACAGCTTTAGCGCAGAGACCAGGACTGCTGTGTCCAGCACCTAGGACAGCGTGGGAAGCTTCTGTTTCTACCATTTGATTCATCTGTCTCCTTCCCATCCTCCCTCACTGAGCCAGCGCTGTCGTCCAGATTCCACTTAAGTCTGCTGGTATGCTTCAGTTGCAATGACAGAAAATTCCAATTCAGCTGACAGAAAAATAA